GTCCCCAGGATGGGAGTCAGGAGCATTCCAAATAGCCATTTCTGACCAATTGCTATGCATTCATTCAACCTTAGACTGAGGAATGGAGGAAGGTGTGATTATGTATTTATTTTCTTAGCTATTGCTGTTCTCTAAAGAGCAAAGAGCAGAAACCATGTCTGATATTTACAATGTTGGTTAGTCAGGCTACTGGTTAATTTCAGTTATATTCTAGTAGAATGGGTTCCCATTCTTTTCTGAAACAATCTATAGTCACCAAAGGCAAAGAAAAGTTTTTGCTCTCTGTATAACTCTTGAACATTGAAGTCTTTCAGGGACTAATGTCCTTGAACCTTTGCTTCTGTTTAAGTTGGAAGCAGAAGGGCTTACTATATGAGGAAGAATGCAGATGATCAAACATGATGTGAATGGAGTTTGTGTTTTGGGTGGAGCCAGAAGTTCTACAAGCTTCTCCTCTCTTCCTCCCTTCCAAGCCCCTGGTCCAGGGTGACCCTCTTAGCTGGGCCTGGGACAGGTATGGCTGTGCTAGAAGGTCCAGAGGAAGAGACAGGGCCTGGGGAACCTACTGTTGGCACCACGGAAGAAATGTCTGGTGGTCTGCTTTAGTAACATTTGCAGCCAAGAAAACCCTCATGAGCAGTTGTACTTTGTACCACATGGGGTCTCCACAGATCAGAATCGACTTGATGGTGACAGGTTTTGTATTTTGGTTTTGGAGCTGATACCTAAGCACCAAGCTTATTCTGGATGTCAAAATTGGGACGATGAGAGGTGGGGAGGATATATAAGGTACAAGTTAACACCACCTACAGGTAATGCTTTGCATCAAGAACAAAGGGATGGGCTTTCACTACAGCCAGACCCAGTCCCATCCCACTTCCAAGCCCTAAGGAAATCAGCCAGTGGCTCACAAGGGAGACAGTTCCTTCAGGGAAAGGGTGTGAGGCTTTGAAATTCCATCACATCATCAATGAACTCCGCTAGGTTTGTAGACAATCTTGGAGGCCCACCAGCCAAGCCTATCACTTCTCTCCAATCACTGCAGAGTAAAGAAACGTGTCAGCTTCCCTAAAAGGGAGAGGAAAAAAGAAAACAGAGTCCAAAGGAA